TATGCCCATGTGTCTTTGTTTTGCAAATGAATATGCAATATTACATGAGTACAACAAAAAATTAATCTTGGAATCGAAGAACCTAGCAAATGCTGAATTGAAAAACATGAGTTAACCTTAAAGAGAAAAGAAGCATCTAGTAAATGTCGTAATGTCTCACATTTTACAGTGATGTCTTCTTTGATGGTCAAGGGTTAGGGAAAGAAATAGAGACTCCATATAGTATTAAATGCTCATTTAAATGAATATTATTGTTATTCCTGTAAAAACCACATAATGAAACTAAATTATTCAAATATTACTTAGAATCATGTTCTTATAAAAGATACCAGGCGCATAGCCAATATCATTGCAAAACAAACAGGCAACACCAACAAAAAATTGTATCATTTACAGAAACCATGGCTTAGAATTCCTCTCATGACTAGAATTGTGACAATTCTGATGTAAAAACTGGTGAAATTATTCTTTGTATTCCTATGCAATTATAACAATGAAAACACCTTCTTGCTTAATATGGCATTATGAATAATCTGTGGGAAAATGTATTGTATATACTTGGGTGAATCTATTTTTGTCTCTTTCAAAGTTGCATTTTTAATAGCTTCTCATCTTCTTCCTAATCAATTAATACATTGGGCACCCTCCATTTAAATGATAAAGATGCCTGACTTTGAATTTTCTCCAAAGTTGAAGACTAACAGTGTCTGAAAAGAGACTTAAAAGTATCAAGGTAAAATATTTTTAAGTCATAATTTAATTTGAAATGTTCCAATTATATGTTTCTCCTTGAGGGATGTTATTCCAAATGGTTTGAGAAAGAAATCTTTTAATAAATAAGTTATATCTACATAAAGATCTAAATCAAAGATGGTTGATTAATTGATAGAATCACCTTAATAACCTTGAGAAAGAAAACCGTAACATTCTGTCCAATAGTGTCAGGTGGCTGATGGTCAAAATGGTTGTACTGAGAACTAATCTCCATCCTTCCACACTCTCTAAATGAGGTCAGTTGTCTGTGAAATGTGTCTCCTGCCATTCCTCTTTACTCCCATCCTCTCACATAATTTTTTTTCATTGACGTGTCTCTTTTAGTGTTACTCTGTCTGGTAATGACATTTTAGACAATGAAGCATGTTATTGAAATTTATTCTTGTTTAATACAGGCTTCTTCTATAATTCATTTAACTTTCCAATGTGATTTCATTATATAACATAACCCATTACAATGAGAAAACTGGCACACGGACAAGTTCAATGTGTTTAGTCCAAGAATTTGTGACTAAGATAGGACCAGAATTCAGTTTTCTCACTTTCTAACATGGCCCTCTTTCTTTTTAAAAATATGTTTTTATTTATTTCAGAGAGAGGAGGGGAAAAGCAGAGAGAGATAGACGCATCAATGAGAATCATTGATCAGCTGCCTCCTGCACACCACCCACTGGGAATTGAGCCTATAACCCAGTACTGACTGGGAATTGCATCATGACCTCCTGGTTCATGGGCTGATGCTCAACCACTGAGTACACTGGCTGGGCAGTATGACCCTCTTTCCATGGTGCTGCCCATCCTTCAATTAAATGAAGTAAATATATTTTGTTGGAAACAATTCTCTTCAGGGAAGTGCCTTAGATTCAGCTCTATCTGCTATCCCGCATGGCCACTCTTTTCATGTCATTCCCAATCCTTTTGAGGAAAAACAACCTTGCTTGTGGCATTGAAGACACAGTCTAATGACTGTGTGTTCTTTCCAGGCCTGAGGACACCTCCTTGTCACAAGCTAAGAGTTTTCTGGGATACTTTGCCCTCTCACCAATGACTTTCTTCTGAGTCACCAAGTTCTGAGTTAAAGTTGGCTGAGAAATTTAGAAGAGAGAACTGGTAGATTATAAACTTTAAAATATAGTACTTATATATCTGATATATGCATAGATAGTATTAAGAATTGCATATGTCAGAATCATGTTTTATTTGTTATAGTACTTAATGTAAATGTGTTTAGTAAAGCTTTTTATATTTATTCACATTGGAGATATTAAATGGCTTTAGAACATTTTCATCAGTTTTGTTGAATATTTGGAAATAAATTTAAGTTCAATTGAGTGAATCCAAACTATATTTTTTAATTCCTGTTATAAATATTACTTCAAAGTTTAAAAATTCTCCAGCTAATACCTGTAAACTCTTTGGAATTTACTAAAGTGTATTTGTCAGTCTGTTCATATCTACTGTTTATGACCAAAGAGAAATCAAATAAGGAACAAGCTCTAAGAACCACTTTGTGTTAGTGAATAAAACAAATCATTATAACTTTATTTCTTCTGAATGGTTTACTGTTTTATGTATTGTTTTGTGTGTTTTTTTATTATTTTTGATAACAGTTCAATTTTGATTTGTGTTGTTCTAGTACTTTGTATGCTTGAGAATGATTTTCAATTCTCTTACTCTTAAATAAAATGTTTTGTAGGATTAGGGTTAAGATTAGGGCTGGCCAGGTAGCTCAGTTGGTTAGAGTGTTATCCCAGTACACCAAAGTTGTGAGTTAAATCCCTGGTCAGGGCACATACAAGAATCAACCAATCTCTATATATAAAAGCCTAAGCGACCGAATGACAGGTCGACCAGGCGCTATGACACACACTGACCACCAGGGGGAAGACACTCAATGCAGGAGCTGCCCCCTGGTGGTCAGTGTGCTCCCATAGCCAACCTCCTGCATCCGGCCAACCCCCTCCCCCTGGCCCACCAACCACCCACGGCCCCTCCCCCCGGCTGGCCGGCCCCTGATTGGGACTGAGCGAGATGGCTCTGATAGGCCACAATTGCCAGCCAGGCTGAGGGACCCCACCCTTGCACGAATTCATGCACCAGGCCTCTAGTGAATATATAGATAATTGGAACAACAAACTGATGTTTCTCTCTCTTGCTTTCTCTCTCTCTCTAAAAAATTAATAAATAAAAAAGAGATGATTCCAACCAAATTTTTCATAGATAAAAATATCTAAATTTTTATTTTCATAAGCTTTACTTAAACAACTTTATTAAAATAAAGTAATTATTTTAGTGTTTAAGCTTTGTTATATTTGAGAACTTACTCTTTATGTGAAGGTATTTGAAAGTAATTATCTATAGTGCTTATGTGGATAATCTTAAATTCTGCTGCTTAATTTTCTTAGTTGGCTATTATGCCAGATACCTGTGATGAATTGCCTTTAGGAATAAAACTGTGTATCTATCTGTCTATCTATCATCTATCTATCTATCATTCGACCTACCTACCTATATCCTAAAGAATCTGAAAATATTAGTTTCAGACTTTAGAAATTAGTCAATTATGAGTGTGGTTTTTATCTTTCTAACTTTCATCTTTCTACAGAACATTTGGAGAGAAGTACAAATCTCATTTGGCCCACTCCATGGGCCAAAATTTTCTACTTTCTTTATCTGGCAGCTAGAAAATTTAAGTCCTTTCTCTTTCACAGTAGACAATTTCTCCAAATATTGCAGCAACTTTGCAACTTAAAATTAGTATCTTACTGAAAGCCTTAAACTTTTATGGTTAGATTATTTACAGCTATTAGTCTTCTAATAGGACACACCATCCATTCCCCAATTTTTTTTTTACTCCAGTTGTTCATATGCATCTCTGACAGATTGATCTTCCTAAGACATGTAGTTATCAAACTTTTATACATCGCACCTCTACCAAATTGATAAAATCTTCACCCTAGCATTAAAGACTTTACGTGCTTTCAACCTCACCTCTCTAGTACCCGCTAGTTTTTTCTGAGGAGCTTAGTCTACATTCCTTCTCTAGATTTTCATATTTAAGTAACTGCTTATACCATCTCCATATCCTTGCATAACTTCTAATTACATCAATTAAAATCTTATATAGTTGACCCTCAATAATGTTAATTTCTTTCTACCTGTAGATATAATGTTGTTAATATGTAAATTCTTCATATTCCCTATGTTGCTCATGGTAAATGCTCAGTAAAAATTTGTCAAATAAACAGTAAGATGAAATTATTACTTGGAACCTATTTAATTTGGAGTTAAAAGTGGTCCTATCCTAAAAACAAATCTTCCCCTCAAATGTGTGTATTTCTATATTAACATTACCCTTTGCTTAGAGATGTTATTTTGGGCAAAAAGACTGGAGATTTCACGGGATCCAAGAGGTCTTTCTGAGGAGCATTCTGTGAAACCCCTGCAAAAGTTATCCTAGCAAAATTTCCCACACTAATTAAATATGCCAAAGATGGCTTCAATGGAGATTAACCTCTGAGTTTAAGGGTAAGTTCTTCCTCCTTTTATTTAAAATAAGTTACTTCTCACTGGATTAGAAAGCCAAATAGAGTCCAAAAATTGAATTCACTAGAGGCTGTGCATAAAGAAAGGTATGTGACAGCAGCATCTATTCTCTAAAGGCTTAAATATAATCCAATGATAATCACTTTTAAAAAGAGTAAAACAAACATTTGGAAAAGAAATGAAGGGCAGGAATAAATTCTCAAGCATAGGGAATAATGATGATTTTATGGCAAATGATTATTTTATTTAATATGTCCATTTCATTAGTTATTGTATTGAAATGCTCTATTAAAAAATTATCCCACAAGTACATAGTGCTGAGGGAAAGAAGGTGTTTTTCAGAAATTACTTTGGTAGTGATCAACCAGTTTGAAGCTTTTTTATTATGTTCTGTGCCTGGTGAAAATTATTTATCTCTAGAAGCCTGATCTGCAAACACAGTTCAAGAAAGTGAAGTCTTTGGGGGTTCCTTTGCTAGGCCATTTAGTTATATCTCTGCACCTACTCAGTGCTCTTGTTTCTCCTCATACCAATGAAATCTCTTCACAAATTGGTAAATGGTGAAACTGGGATTTGAACCCAGGTCTGCAGACACTAAAGCCTAAACATTAATTATGTATTTTTGCTCAAAACTAACTTTGCAGCTTAAGTATCATCATCATCATCATCATCATTGCTGACATTTATTGAATGCCTACTATGGGCCAGGTACTGGGTTAAGATTTTTTTTTTATTATTGATTTTTTACAGAGAGGAAGGGAGAGGGATAGAGAGTTAGAAACATCGATGAGAGAGAAACATTGATCAGCTGCCTCCTGCACAACCCCCACTGGGGATGTGCCCTCAACCAAGGTACATGCCCTTGCCTGGAATTGAACCTGGGACCCTTCAGTCCGCAGGCCAACGCTCTATCCCCTGAGCCAAACCGGTCAGGGCTGGGTTAAGATTCTTCATATTTATTGTGCTAAACTTCAAAATAGTGTTATTGTATTTCATGGATGAAATTTTATGCTGTGGAATGGCCCAAATAAGAATCTAAGAGCTTGTCATTTGCATTTTTGCATATGAGAGGTCATCTTCATCTTAAAAGTAGCCACAGTTCTGGGGCATGTTTATATTTATTTCTCTTACGTTTTAAATTTCTTAAAAATAGAACACATACAAATATCTACCATTAGTAGAGTAGGTAGCAAAAATAAGTAAATCAGACTTTAAGATGATAAGGACTAGTGAGGATTGTGGAAAATTGTGAGTTTATGTTCTTTAGGAAGTCATTCAGATTTAATTTGTAATGAAATTGTGTGGGAACACACGCACACACACACAAGCACACACACACAAAAGTCACCAGTTTGTAGACCTTTAAACTATTGCTTCTTTTCTTTTTTAAGCAAAGGTTTTTAGATATGATACATCAAGAAGATTAAGAAAAAAACCTCATAGACATAGACAACAGTATGGTGTTTACCAGAGGGGTAGGGAAAGGGAGAAGAGAGTATGGGGTTATAAATGGTGATGAAAGGAAACTTGTCTTAGGGTGGTGAACACACAATACAATATACAGATGATGTATTATAGAATTGTACACCTGAAACCTATATGACTATTAACCATTTTCACTCCATTAAATTCAATTTAAAAAATCTAAAACAAACAAACAAATAAATAAAAAGATATACTTCCATTTGGGGAATGAATGTGAAGTAACTGGTTTGCATGTATTCATATTTACGCCCTCAAATCTAGTCTGATGAGTGCATGATGATCGCTTTTAAGGAGTTACTGCTTTGGCTGAATTATTTCACTTAGGTGGTTATGATACATACACGTTTTAGTACTTTATCAAAGAAGAAAAATAGATCCTGAGTTCCCTTCTTCTCTCAGATGATTATAGTTCATAGCTTGAGAGCACAGTAGTTACTTAGCAATCAGAGGACTGTGCAAGGGCAGAGCATGGCGCTCACTGCTGTGTGGACAGTTGCAGGCCACGGCTGCTCGGGCACTCACTGACGGCTCCTTTGTCAAGTGGTTTTTCGGTGTTGGAAAATGGGACCTCATTGTTTCAAAGTTTCAGTTTGGAAAATCCAGACATTAAGGGCTAATCTACATTTTAAAACAGTTGTCTTTGGAAGAAATTATGCTATAAATGAGAAACCTGTGTGGAGTTCTGGGCTCTCTCTTTATGTTAGCTTTGGCAGGGCCAGGAGCCTGTTTTGATGATAACGCCAGCATTTGAAACCTGTATTTTACATCACAGGAAAACTAAACAAATTTAAAACACTCCACATTTGCCTTTTGACACCCCGTAACCAATAGATGAACTCTAATTTCTGGGCAGCCTCCCAGCGATTAATGCCTTTCCATTTATGACGTGAGAAGAATGAGCAGCATGTTACAGTTGGTCTTCTGTCCGTTTCTGAAGAGTGCCGTGCCAGGATTTTGATGTGCACTCGCGTTCTGGCACCAGGCGTCACACTTCTCACCCAGCACAGAGCCAGCTCACAGATCCTGTTCGGCACAGCAACTCCAGACATGCAGCCTGAATTTGAAGGTGCCCTCTTAAAATGTGGCAGGCACAGCCTCTCTCTTAGTATTTGGAGCTCAGCTGCCTTCAGAGCAGCCTTGGAAGAGTTGTGTGTTACCTACTCACTGAAGCAATCTCCCTAAAGGTGAGGCTTGGCACTGCAGTGCTGTACCACAAATGTTTTCTGTTGCCTATACTTACTTTCAAGAGGAAACTCTCAATATATCTTTCCCCATTGTTATTAGAGATTACATACTCTTGCCCTAGCTGGTTTGGCTCAGTGGATAGAGCATCAGCCTGCAGACTGAAGGGTCCCAGGTTCAATTCTGGTCAAGGACACATGCCCCGGTTGCAGGCTCTATCCCTAGTAGAGGGCATGCAGGAGGCAGCCAATCAATGATTCTCATCATTGATGTTCCTATCTCTCTCACCCTCTCCCTTCCTCTCTGAAATCAATAAAAAATATTTTTTTAAACAAGAGAGAGAGATTACTACTCTACTCTCTTGGAGGGAACAGTATTGGAGTAAATACCTTTGGGGCCTTCCTTGATTCCTGCATCCTTTATGGAGAGGTATGACATTCACTCAGCCATGTGTGGTAGTTGTTAATGCTGTCCACCAAATATTTTTGCTTCTCCCCACTTCAGGGCAAATGGTAGGATTGCATTTCCTGCCTTTTTCTGTAGCCATGTAACTGCTTTGGTCAATAAAAATTGAGCAGCCCTCACCAGGTGGCTCAACTCATTGGAGCATCGTCCTGTACACCAAAGGGTTATGGGCTCAACTCCCAGTCAGGGCACATGCCTATGTTGTGGGTTCAATCCCCAGTTAGGGAGTGTATAGGAAGCAACTGATGGATGTTTCTTTCTCACACTGGTGTTTCTCTTTCTCCCTTCCTCTTGTTCTAAAAATCAATAAAAACATCCTCAGGTGAGGATTAAAAAAATAATAATAAAGCCCAGCTGGTGTGGCACAGTGGTTGAGCATTGACCTATGAACCAGGAGATCACGGTTCTGTTCTTGGTCAGACATGCCTGGGTTGTGGGCTTGGTCCCCATTGTGGGGTGTGCAGTAGGCAGTTAATCAATGATTATCTCTCATCATTGATGTTTCTCTCTCTCTCCCCCTCTCTCTTTCTCTCCGAAATCAATAAAAATATATTAAAATAATAATAAAATAAAAAATAAAAATTGAGCAGAGGCAATGTGTTACTTTGCCCTGTAAATATTAAAAGCCAGTGTGAGATTCACCACTTCCTTCTCTTCCTGCTGCATGATTAAAGAGGCACAGGTTGAGAGGAGGCCTATATTAGCCTGGGCCCCTGAGTAACTGTGATAAAAAGAATCCCTGTTTACCAGTTTTAGACTTGAAACATGAACAAGAAATACATGTTGGTGTGTTGGTCACTCCGATTTAGTTATTGCTTGTTACTGCATCATAACCTAGCCCATGCTGACTAATGGGCCTTGTTAACTGAAATGTGAAACTATTGCACTGAAGTTCAAACAGGACAGAGCCAGGCACAACTCTTTCTTGTCTTATTATCTCTCAGTGAGTTTCCTCCATGTAGATAAGAGACAAACAGAGCCTTGCTTTAGTAGGTTGACCATCTTTCAAATATTGTCCCTGTGATAGGTTAGAAATACCAAAGTATAAATCAAGAAAGGGGATAGAAGAACATGCTATGTTCTCCTACTAGCTTCACCATTAATAATTTTACTATATTTTGATCCCTACTTAGTTCTTGTGTCTTTCTTCTCACATTGGTTAGGGAAGCTATAAGAAGGAGAAGTGATGATATTGTTTTTCCAAATCTCCAAACTTACAGAACTTAGATATTTATACAGCACACTATTAAGTCATAACTGTAGATAACAGGTGTAGGCATACTATTGTTATTTCTTAAATGGTAGTAGCCTAGTTATTTACAGATGTGATGGGCAGGACATGGGCCCCAACTTTTTAAGCCCCTGGTGTACATTCCCTGAATTCCTTTCCTTTTGGTGTATAATGAAAATATCATTTTTGTATAAATGAAATACCACTCCCCATGGTTAAGTTACATTTTATGGCACAGATTGAAGAGATGTTGCCAATGTAATTAAGATCCCTAATCAATTGAGTTTGAGTTCATCAAAAGGGGGATTATTCTGGTTATACCTAACTTAAGTGATATTTTAAGAGTCACTTTCATAGTAGTCAGAGTCATTTTTCTCCTGGTGTTAAGGAAGCAAATAGTGAAGTTGTGAATAGCCAAGAGAGGAGGCCACAGGGCAAGGAGCTGAAACTGTCCTCTAGTTGCTCAGGGTGGTTCCTGGCTTACATCTAATGAGAAAGTAGGGAACTCAGTCAGAAACAAAATCTGTCATCAACCTGAGGTAGCAGATCTTCCATAAGTTATTCTCCAGATGAAAACATTGGCAATCAGCATCTTGCTTTAAGCCTTAAAAGATCCAGCAAAATGTGCCAGACTCCTGACCCACAGAATCTGTTAGATAATAAATTTATGTTGTATTAAATTTGTGGCAATTTGTTATGTAGGAACAGAAAACTAATGCAAAAGTAATCTGACCTGATAGTCTTTTCTTGAAATATCTAGCTTTTTAAAATATATATATTTTTATTGATCTCAGAGAGGAAGGGAGAGAGAGAGAGAGAAACATCAATGATGAGAGGATTATTGATCGGCTGCCTCCTGCACGCCCCACACTCGCAACCTGCACATGTGCCCTGATCGGGAAATAAACCGTGACCTCCTGGTTCATAGGTTGATGCTCAACCACTGAGCCATGCTGGCCGGGCTCGAGCTATTGTTTTAATAACAAATCATCTAACATTTTCTGCTCTTTAGCTTCCTGAAAACAGTTTTAACTCTCTTATGGAGCAATGAGATTGGAAGAGGTTCTGACAGTGGTTAAATGAGGCCCTTGGTGTCCTCAGTGCATCCCTAGTCAAACCACTGCAAACAGCCTTGGGAGAACCTGTGGGATCTAATAATAAAGCCTTTTTTTGTCAATTTATGCTTACTCACGTTAGTGTTGTTTTCCTACTGATCAGCCATTGCCGTCAGTTGTGTTTCAGGCATTTCTAGCCTTGTCTGAGGTCTGCAGTTTTGCTTTGGGTAGAGAATGAAGATTGCTTGTCTCACCTTTATTGCACCCTCCTGCGTCTCTTGTAAGTCCCAGAGAGCCTGGGTCAGAAAGGGGGAGTCATGGCTGCACTGATCCCTTGAGTCTGACACTCTGTCCTAGAGGCAGGAGAAATGTGTTCAGCTGGGAGAGTGAATTAATTAGTGACAAATTCAGAAGTCTCTACCCTTGACCCTTTTCTGCATTACCCAGGACAGTCTTGAAGTGGCTAATGATGATGTGGTAAAGAGGTGAACAGGGGTAATTCCTTCCTCTGAATCCTCAGAAGATAACATCTGTTGTATAAAAGATAAAATATAGCCAACAATGTTTTCATCATTCTCAAAAATAAATCTTTTTCTGTAAGAAAGAGGAAAATCATACTCTGCATGAACTGTTAGGCCTTTCTGCTCTGAATTTTAATCATATCAGTCCTTTTGTTTTGGCTGAGTGGTTGTAGATAGGTTATGAGAAAAGAAAAATAAGAAAGAACTTCTATAGTAGCTGACTACCATCCGAGATGTTAACTGAAAGGCATAGTTGACCTTGTTCATTTGCTTTCATTTTAGAAGATTGGGTTCACCAATTCTACCTAGGGTCCCAGATTCCATTTTCATAAAGGCCAGTTTAAAGTAAGCCCCACATCCCAACTTGATGAGGTAATTGAGGAAGAATTATAGGCATCCCCTGGGCCTTTAACCGAACAGTTTACCTCTGAGAACATCCAAACTAGGTGAGGCTCAGATCACGTTGTAATTGTCCCAAATAAATCCCCTCAAGATTTTCTCACCCTTCTTTATATTTTTAATCTTATCTCCAACTCTGTCTAAATTAGTAGATGTTAGTCCATGCTCCTTACAGCACTGTGGGAATTCCCATGGGTCTACAGCAGAGGAGGAGACAGTGCAATGGTAGGGAAGCAGGAATAAATGGTAAGGGGATGTTCTACTCACCCTCCAGACAAAGCAGTTGTGTATTTTTGTTCATGTTTTTCATTTTACTTTTTTTCTGTTTTAAAAATTGGATTTAAACAAAGGGACTTGGATCCTGCCACCACCTCAAGCAATCACCTCAAACCTTTCATACTTCTACATCAAAATTCTTTGAGAAAAAGTGTCTATACTATCCTCCTGAAATTGTTCCTTTGAAGGTTACAAATACCATTGGAATTTCTAATTAAGTTTAATTTAAAAACTTTTAAAATTACAGTTGACATTCAATGTTATATTAGTTTCAGGTGTTCAGTACTAGTATAATGATTAGACATTGATATAACTTACTAAAATATCCCCTCCATAAGTCTAGTACCCACCTGGCACCATACATAGTTATTACAGTATTATTGACTGTATTCCCTATGCTGTACTTTACATTCCAATGACTAGTCCACAACTACCAATCTGTACTTGTCAACCCTGCACCTTTTTCACCCAGCCCGCTCACCATCCTCCCATCTGGCAAACATCAATTTGTTCTCTGTATCCAGAAATCATGAAAAGTTTAATTCTACCATAACCAAACCTACAGAAACCTATTTCACATTTGATATTAATTAACTTTTTTATCTTTTACAATCACCATTGATACCAATGACTATTCTCCCCTCAATTAAGATTCTCTCTCTCACCATTTTCAGGATATAGCCCTATCTCTATGATAATTTTTAATCTACTTTTTTATTGACTACAGTTCCCCCACATGTGGCATCTGTCTTGGGCCATGTTTCTTAGAAGAAAAGTCTGAGATGGGAGTTATTGGTCAAGTGATTTATTGGAAGTGCTCTTAGGAGAATTCAGCTAAGTAGGACAGGGCGAAGAGTAAGCAAGAATATGACTTCAGTTGGAAACTAATTCAGTCTGATCCCATGAAACACTCTAAAGCACAAGCACAAATTGCACCAATGTGTTTTCTCTTTGAGGCAAAGGGCTAGAGTTTTGTACCCAAAGTTTTGTCCAACAATCACAAAAATAGGCAGATAGATGTTCCAGCTAGTAAAGGAGAACTGGGCAGGGTTGCATTCGCATACACTAGGCCATCTTTAGGTTGTGTTCTTTTTCCTCTTGACATGTCTCCCTTAAAGTGATCTATTCTCAATTCTATATATATGTGTATGTCTGCCACAAAATATCACCAACATCTCATCCCAACTGCAGATCTTCATTTTTTAATTCATTGAACATTGGATATATTATAAAGTTCACAGTTTCAAATTATTACTCATCATTTTTATCTCCCCAAACTGACTTTGCTATATTTATAAATAGTGTTGTTATTTGCCATTATTAGGGCTCAAAAGATTTTAAAGTATCATGCTTTCTTCCTTTGTTATCAAATTATCTGTCATGCTTTATTCTTCTTTATTCCCTACTTCTGATGCCTTGCAAAGCACTAATAATTCTACTACCTGACACATTTAGTCTTTGTTCAAGACATTTTCTTCATCTTTCATTTTTCTACCCATTTTCACATGAAAGAATTGATTAAGATGTTCTAAAGTCCTTATGTTGTCCTGGAGAATAATAAAGGTATTATAAAATACTAAATTTTGATAAATCCAGAGTACATGTTTAAATTTAGAACACCAGCAATGCCACAGATGTTATCATTACCCTGAGCCATACACAATCCATTAGCCCATTTAAATATGCCTGTTGGTGTAATAGATTGTCTGCATGCATGCTGACAACTTAGTATCACAAGTGCCTGCATCTCTCTTCCTCTCCACCCGAGGGAATTCTATGGCTCCCTGAAACGTATTCCACCACAATAGACAAGATTATTTTTGTGTGTGTAGATAAGCTAACTATTCCAGGGGTATTTCATGATTGGATAGAATTTGTTGAAGAATGCCCTAGATACTCAGTCTTCTGTGGGGTGATCCTATTATATGATTCAGAGGATCCACAGTAGGATTGATCCAAGTTGTCTACAACAATGCCTCACTCATTCATACACCTTTATTGAATTCAATTCTCACCCTTCTGTCTCTTATATCCCACACACTCACAGCTCTTACTGGGATTTCTCCCAAATAAGCTTCTGGATTTTAAGTTCTTATCTTAGGATCTGATTTTTAGGGAAGCCCTTAACAATTGCACCAGACTTTGCTCCAGAAATCAGACTCTTAGGACATGATTCTGGCATTGGATCTCTTGGCCATCAGGTTACAAGGACACAATTGCTGATGGTAAGTTGTGGAAAATCTTTTATGTACTGCACTATCATAGTTCCTTACATCAACAAATTTTAATTGGTGTGTTGCAAGGGGCACACTGGTGTACTGCAAGAATTTTTAAAATGTAATACCTAACTATTTAGTTAGTACCTCTTTTCCCTTAGGAAAGGTTGAAACTTGCTGTCTTAGACTATCACTGTGGTGGACTTGGATAAGGTGTAGGGTGGCAGGGACAAAGTACTTGTTTTTGCAATCGTGCTAGCACCTAAACAATAAAGAGGCCATGACAATTATAAACAATGTAGAGTGAGCTGGCTTTTTAACTGACCTACCTAGAAAACTTGAAGAAGGATAATTAGACTTAGGTCAGCTATAAAATCCAGGAGGCTTCCATAAAAGTATTAAAGAAATCCTTATCTGCTGCATCCAGTGGGAGAAATACATTGTAAGTCAGGTGCCCACATTGTTACAGGGATGGCAGAGGCACAAAAGAGGCTGAGTGCACTTCTAGCAGGGAGTTATGCTAAAGTCATGATCTGGAAGAACAGGGAGCCGGACTTACAACCTGGTAGGGCAGGCATGAGGGGTTTGTTTGAAAGCCTTGACTCTCTTAATGCCCTTGAATCATCCTGGCCAAGCAGTCCTCTTCTTTGCTAGAGAGCAGTCTCACATCATACTTAACTATCAGAGGCAAGATGGATGTGATTACTCTACTGAGCTATGAGGCTAGAATGACTTTGATCCACAAAGATCAATGGCTAATAGACCATGACATGCCTAGAGGCTAGGTGAGTAGGCAAACAACGAAGTGTTTCCTAACTAATCAAAATGATCATGAGCACTAAAAGGCTAATGTTAGCCACTGCAATGAAAACCTTAACCAGTCCATTAAAATAGCAACCTACTTGTCCTATTAGTCTACCTTGTCAACTCTTAACTACCCTTACCTAGTTCTATTATATCCCTTCACACTTAGACCTTTCTAACACTATAGTTTTCCCTATTTATTATGGATTTTTAAAAGTATCTACTTTCCCCCATTTGAATGTAAATTTCACAAGGGCATTGTTGGTGGGTCTATTTTGTGTATTGAAATATCCCAAGTACCTAGAACAATGACTGTCACATAGTAGGGGCTTAATGAATTTTGATTAATGAATAAACCAGTTCTCTGCACTGCAATAGAGATTTATTTTTTTCTGAGTAGCACTATAATGCAGTATAATTGGTCAGTATCAAGGGTGATTTAGAAAAAGCATCCATGAATCTTGTGACACTGTAAAGAAGTTGTGCATTCCTTTGTATGAAGTATAAGTATTCTCAGGAGGCATTTCTGGCTGGCTGGGTTAGAATAGTTTAACTTATTCCCTAGGTAATTGCTTTTCAGTTGTCTTGTGGACCCAGGATTTAGAAACCCAGGTTTCTAAAGCAATTTTTTTCTCTTTACTGTATTATCATTCTTTAGGATGTAATTATTCAACTCTTTTTTTATGTGGCATTGTAATATCCAAAATCCTTTAAGGGAAAAATGGGTGTATTTATAAATATTGTCTTTTTTTAAAAAAAATAACAGTTCTTGGTGGAACGAGAGTGTGGAAGGGGTTAATGCATTATCCAACATGGCTAACATACTCTGAGAGAGGGCTATGTGCATTCAAAGACCTGAGTAATGATGCCATTAACCTTTCCTAGTCTAGCTCTATAAGACACTTCACCATTGGTTCAAGTGACTCTTTTTCCCTTCATTGTGACTAGCTAGAATTTGTATTAAGTGTCATTAATCAAAGGTGAAAAATTCTCTGAGCAGGAAAATTGTCAGTGAAATTGGCTGCTGTGTGTGGAAAAAAATAAATAAAAAGGTTTAATAATTATATATTAACTCAAGCAGTAATAGTCTTTTCAAATCATCATAGGTTGAAGCTCCTCTTTGATTTTAGGGGTCTAATTTTGAGGAAGACCTATTAATCTTTTTTCCATTTCTTTGCCTTTCTTATTCAGTAATTGAACTGTTCAGGTGTTATTGATTAATGTAGCTTTCTTAAATGACAGGTTGGTATGGCAGCCAAAGCTATTCTCTATGCTGTTCTTATTTCTGAAATGACATGAAATATTCTGGAATCTGGGGAAAGAATAAGATATTAACTTTTTTTATAAAAACAGACTCAGGTACCTCTAGAACTGGAATCTGGGGAAAGAATAAGATATTAACTTTTTTTTATAAAAACAGACTCAGGTACCTCTAGAAGGTGGGGGGGGGGTGGCAGCTTTTCTTTGAACCATTGATGTTGGAGCTAATAAAATGAATTTTAATTTGTAGCAAGAATAAGAGCTAGCCCCCTATAAACATATCATATTTTGAGGAAAATTGACCCTAGGAAGGTTTTTATTAACATTTCCCCATAGCCTTTAAAAGAAGTGACTGCAGGAAGAAATTCTAGTCCAGATGCAGCAAAGTGAGGCTTATGCTGGCTGCAACAAGTAGGTGAGTAAAATTCTTCATATTTTAATAGGCTCACATCATAGAGAAAAAAGGAAAACATAATCTTGAAAGATCAGTAGAAAGTAGCTATTTAGAAAGAAAGACTCTATAGGATTATATCATTGCCCCAAACTACCAATATCATTTATTTTGTGGAATAAACATCTGTGCTTTGCAATGTGACTGGGAGATAGGAGTGCGATGCGAGTTCTGTTTAGTTTGCACTTCTGGCTGTTCCTTCCCTCACACTGTGTGTGTTAATTGCCCCTTGCGGATGGACTGCATGGTCTCGAATCCTCATAGTGTGCAAGTGAATTTGTTCTGTGCTGCTCTCAAGCACACCTGCAAGACATTTTAATAGCTTTTAAAACTGACGATGTTTCCTTAACTCCCTGTTGCATAACAGTCCTGACTACCTGAGGCATCATCACAAAAGATAATTTAATAACAGCTATGATGATGTAGGCACCTGAAATTCCATCTGGCAATAAACACTGTAGTGTGATTTATATGTACTAGTATATATCCATTATAAGTGGGTGAATGCTTTGACATATTATGTCCTGTTTCATACCATCCCCTGAATTTTTCTCTTTAACATTTAAATTTAGGACACAAAATTGTATACAAATATAATGGGAAAAATAATTGGCTTCACTAGCTATAGTCTTCTTGCAGCTATGGAGTCAACAAAGCAAAAATAAATGCTATTTTTAATAAAATGTACAATACAGTTTAAAGATTTTCCAAGCTTACAAATTATTTATTTACTATACCTTAAAAAATTTTGTCATTTTTTAGAAAGGGGAATAATTCTAAACAGGGCTAGAGTATTTTTCCTATATGGATCAGTAACTCTTTTGAATAAATAAATGAATCATTGTATGGATGAATAAAGGAATTAATTAAATGTATAAATTTGTTAAGATTAATAATTATATTTAATTTATTCATTTATATGCATTTTCAATTCCATTTATTTTAGCCATAGATAAAATTTTCTAAGTATTTCTTGGTTTTTGGTCATCACTAAATGGCTACATCTTATTTGTCATTAATCAAATATTTTGAAAGTTGGACATATGAAGGTTGGAAGAACAATTTTAATGTTATGGTTGTGACCCCTTTACTCTTTATCTGCTCTCTGACCATGTTACTCTTTCACTGTTCCCTAATATGCAGTAGAGGACACCTTGCATTTTCCTATCATTGAGAATCCTTTCTAGACTCACTGGGTCTCCTTACAGCTGATGAAGGGTGGGAAGAGCGGAGGGGATTCTGGAAGAGAGAGGAGTCTCCGCTAGAGAGCTGTCTACAGTTGGTGCTTAGCGTCCTGTTTTGGATGCTCTCAGCTTAATGCTAGCTTATTAGTTTTATTTCATATATGATCTGTATTAACACCATTATAACTCTTACTGCTGTAACATAATGCTTAATGCAGCATGTTAACTTTTGTCAAAGGTAAAAAACAAAAGCTATTTTCAACTAAGATGGTTTGGAGGCCATTGAAATATCACCTGAATGCTTGCCCGGTCTATATTCTTTCTTTAGAACATGCATGTAACAATTTGAAAATTGGACCTGAAGCTTTCATATAGTTGAGGTAGGTATCAAAAAGCACATATTATCAGTCTGTGTCTTGAAAGATACGATTCTAGTATGCTAGAGACCTCAAAAACTATCTTGATATGTTAAATGCCTCAGAAATTTTTCAATCTCAATTGAATTTTTTAAAACTTAAAACTGTTGGTTGTAATTTGGTTGAGATTTTAGAATTACTAAGTTCTTTTTGTTTTTAACCTGAGATTTTACCCAGTGTGTTGAAACATTCTTTTTTTTCATCAAAGAAAGAATCAAGGCCATGAAATACGAGATATGGCATATCTTCCTCACATGTACAGTACAATTTTTCAACAAAATAATCTCTAAAATAGAATAAGTTTATTTTGTTAATATAAAATGATACAATATATTCTTTGCAGACTATATAATTCTATGTGAGATTAAAGTGCATTGCCTGAAAGTAACAGAAAATATCACTAACAGAGGCCTAAGCAATAATGACTTTTATTGTTGTAAATAAGAGGATGTGTGGTAGTAGAAACTAAGAAGTTTGTACATTTTTCACCATGCAGAAATAAACTTCTGTTTCTTCTATTCTTTCATTCTACCATGCTTGTCACTCTATTTCAAAATTACCATTTCAACTCCAATTGCACGTAGACAGGAGAAGAGGGACACTAGAGTCTGTCACCTTTTTTTTTTTTTCCAGGAGGTCAAATCTTTTCCTGGATATACCCCAGGGGACTTCTGCTTAGATCTCATTGACCGGTATTGTATCACATGGCCACTTCTAGCTACAAGGGAATCTGGGATTCTAATCATTTAGATTTCACAAGACAATGGAAAGCAAGTATTTAGCATTTCCACCTCTGTGG